GCAGCAGCAGCAGCAGTAGTAGTAGTAGTAGTAGTGGTAGTAGTAGTAGTAGTAGTAGTAGTAGTAGTCGTAGTAGTCGTAGTAGTAGTCGTAATAATACTAGAAGTGGTAGTAGTAGTAGTAGTAGTAGAAGTAGTAGTAGTAGTAGTAGTAGTAGTAATAGTAGTAGTAGTCGTAGTAGTAGTAGTCGTAGCAATAACCGTAGTCGTAGCAAAAGTAATAGTAGTAGTAGTAGTAGTCGTCGTAGTCGTAGTCGTAGTCGTAGTAGTATTAGTCGTAGTAGTAGTAGTCGTAGTAGTAGTAATCGTAGTAATCGTAGTAATCGTAGTAGTAGTAGTAGTAGTAGTAGTAGTCGTAGTCGTAGTCGTAGTAGTAGTAGTAGTAATAGCAGTAGTAGTAGTAGTAGTAATAGTAGTAGTAGTAGTAGTAGCAGTAGTGGTAGTGTGGTAGTGGTGGTAGTAGTAGTAGTAGTAGTGGTGGAAGTATTAGCAGTAGTAGTAGTAGTAGTAGCAGTAGTAGTTGTAGTAGTAGTAGTAGTAGTAGTTGTTGTTGTAGTGGTAGTAGTAGTAGTAGTAGTAGTAGTAGTAGTAGTAGTAGTAGTAGTAGTAGTTGTAGTTGTAGTAGTTGTAGTGGTGGTAGTAGTAGTAGTAGCAGTAGTAGCAGTAGCAGTAGTAGTAGTAGAAGTAGTAGTAGTAGTAGCAGTAGTGGTAGTAGTAGTACTAGTACTAGTTCTAGTAGTAGTAGTAGTAGTAGTAGTAGTAGTAGTAGTAGCAGGAGTGGTAGTAGTATTAGTAGTAGTAGTTGTTGTTGTTGGTGGTGTTATTGTTGCTGTTGTTGTTGGTGGTGGTGTTGTTGTTGTTGTTGTAGGTCTGCCCGTTTGTTGCCGTGGCCTCGTTGCCGAGCACTGCCGGCCCGTCGCCGCCGCCGAGCTGGACGCCGCCGCGCCCCGTCGAGCCAGAGCAGAGCCGATCTTGAATCCGCGCTTCCCTCAAAGCACGGGCTGCTCAGTCGCACGCGTCTGCTGCGTTCGGGCCTAAGGGCCTCCTCCTGCGCTTGTTGCTCAGATTCCAGGCTGGGCGGCCTCATTGGGCTAGCCCTCTGTCTTGTTCGCTCTCCTCGCGCGGCCCAGAGGTCGGGAGGGAGGAGGAGGAGGGGCACTAGGAGCCGCAGGGGGAGGGGAAGGGGAAGAAGGGATGAGAAGGGGAAGAGCAGGGGCGAGACGAGGAGAAGACGCGGGAGGAGCTGCAGGAGGTGGAGAAGGAGGAGTGGGAGGTGGGAGGAGCTGCTGGAGAGGGGGAGGCGGAGGAGCAGGAGGAGGAGGAGGAGGAGGAGGAGCAGGAGGACTTGCAGATCGAATGTCGCCGCCGAACTCCGCGAGGAGGAACGAGGGAGACACGACAGTCGCGCGGACATCAGAGGAGGCTGCCATGGCAGATGCTGAAGACGAGCATCGTGAGCGGGGGGGGGGGAGAGAGCGCCCTGGCCGCAAAATAAATGGCCCAGGCTCCTCTCCTGCCACCCCCCCACTGCCACCCTCTCCCGCCTTCGGCAGCCACCGGAGCTGCTCCTCGGACGTCGCCGCGAGTGCAGCTGCCACCCCGTCCAGGCCGCAGCCCTCAGGGAGGCCCAGCGCGTGCGCAGCCGGCGCGAGGGCGCGGTCCACCTGCTGCTGCTGCGACCATGGCGGACGGGCGGATTGTCAGCCCATGCGCCGTCGAGCTCATCATGGCGAGTGCCCCGAAGCAAGGGCGCCCTCGAGGGCGCGAAGTTGTGCGCGCTTCGGCTTCGATTCCTCCTCATCCTCCTCTTCTCCCCTGGGGGACGGCGCGAGAGCGCGAAGCTTGGCGCCCTCGCAGAAGCGTGAGAGGAAGGCCATCAGCATATCCATGTCGTGCTGCGGCAGCTGCGGGGCTCATGCGGCGGTGCCGCCGCCGCGGCCTGCGGCCGCCGCCTGCCACCTCCACCGCCATGGGCGCGGCCTGACTTCCCCCAGGGTGAGCGCTCGCCTCCGCGGCCGTCGCGCCAGGCGCATCGCCGCCGCCGCCTCGGGGGAGGCGCGGCGCCGGGTGCAGGCGCGGACTGCGGAGTGGCAGAGCCTCGGAGGCTCGCCACTGCTGCGCGCAGCATGCCTTCGGCAGCGAGCAGCAGGCGCAGCCGCTTTGCCGTGTTCCTGCTCGCAACGCACACCGCCAGAGGCGGCGGAGAGCTTGAGAGATCCACCCACAAAAAAAGCCCCGCCGCCGCGTTCGCCGCCAGCAGCGCCCCGCGGGCGGCTTCCTCGGCGCCGCGTCGGCCAGTGGGCC